TCTCTTTGCCCGTGTTTTCTTGTTTTCTTGACTAAAGTGATTCCTCCTGGGTGGGGAACAACTCCCACTGCCCTGTGTCACTGGGCACTGGTTCACAGCCTGGTACTATGGCTCGTTCCTGCACGAAGGACTTTTTTTTCTGGGACTCAACGTGGTTAAATTATTTTTATCCCTGCTGGAGCCTGGGACAGCTCTTGTCTGTCAGCTCTTCTTGGCTGCGGCAGAAAAATCGTAAGGGGAAAAAAAAAAATGACTGTCTGACAGCTACATCTTATTCTATTAGTATGTTTTAATTAGAACATGAGCAAGAAATGTGTTATGAATATTCATGCCCAGGGTTATTAAAATGCACAATTAATCTGTGCGCGGTTTAATAACTGTATTAATGGTGAGAGGAGGTAGCTCCTATTTTTGTCTTTTCTCAATTGGAGAGTGTGCCTTAACGTGGGGAGCTGGGAAATGGGGTTATTTTAAAATCGAGTTGGCTCCTGCCAGCAGCGTGGGCACGTGGGCGTCTCCAAAACTCACACACCCTGCGCTGGGAGAGCACTGGGAGAGCACTGGGAGGGTGACAGAGCCAAGTGCTCCAGCACCGGGATGTGCTGGGATGGAGCTCACTCTGCAAACGTGACTCGGCTCGGTGCCAGGGGAGATTTCAGTCACAGAATCATGGAATCATGGATGGTTTGGGTTGGAAGGGATCTTAAAGCTCATCTCATCCTGCCCCCCTGCCATGGGCAGGGACACCTTCCACTAGCCCAGGTGGCTCCAAGCCCCATCCAACCTGGCCTTGGACACTTCCAGGGATGGGGCAGCCACAGCTTCTCTGGGAAACCTGTGCCAGGGCCTCACCACCCTCACAGCCAACAATTCCTTCCCAATATCCCATCTATCCCTGCCCTCTGGCACTGGGAAGCCATTCCCCTTGTCCTGTTCCTCCATCCCTTGTCCCCAGTCCCTCTCCAGCTCTCCTGGAGCCCCTTTAGGCCCTGCAAGGGGCTCTCAGGTCTCCCTGGATCCTTCTCTTCTCCAGGTGAACCCCCCCAGCTCTCCCAGCCTGGCTCCAGAGCAGAGGGGCTCCAGCCCTTGGAGCATTCCATGGCCCTTTGGACATGGTATCTATTGGTGCCGTGGATTATGATGGTTTTTGCCAGGATGGTGTGTTTTAACAGGAGATCTGTGCCCAAGGCTGAGGCTGTTGGGAGCGAGGGCGATGCCCGTGGGATCTCCGTCTCACCTGGGGCAGCACATGAGTGATGCAGAAAACACATTGCCCGGTGCCCCAAGGTGCTTCTGACCCTTCCCTGGGCACCTGAGTTGCCTCCAGAGCTGCTGGGATGGAGGGGTCTGGGTGGGCTACTGGGGTGCCCTTGGGTGAGCCCCGAGGGTGTCATCACGGGGCTGCCTGAGCTGTGGCCGTCCCACCCCAGCTTCCCTCTCCTTCCCCTTCTCCTTCCTCTTCCTCCATCTTCATCCAGCCTGGCTGCTCAGTGCCAGCTGTGCCCAGGGGAGCAGCAGGCTGGTGGGCATGGCCAGCACGTGCCCTGGGCTGGGGAAGGTGTGACAGAATTTGGGGGTGACCCCGTGTTCGGGGGCTTTGTGGTGTGAGTGGAGCAAACCCCCCTTTGGGAGCTCTTCCAGAGGCACCTGCCTTTGGCCAAACACTGGGAATTCGCAGGGCTGGCAGAGGGCATTTGCTGCCAAATTGTAGATCCTTCCCAATCCAAGGGGAGGGAAGAGCAGGCTGGCAGTGAGTGCAGCACAGATGCCAGACGTCGGGTGCGGGCAGTCTGCTTTTTCCTGGCTTCATCCCAGAAATCCCTGAATTCTTCAAACACCTGCAGGCTGAAGATGGGAGATTTTTGCCAGCACCTTTCACGCCGGTGGCTGCAGCCTGGGGAAGGTGTGAGACCTTATTTTCCAGGAGACATCAGACAAAGAGCTGGCGTGGGGGCCTTTGGAGATGGTGGAGCCTTGGCTGCTTCCACAGCCATGGGATGCTCTTGGCCACAAGGGTGGGATAGTGATAACCTCACTTCACCTTGGCAGCCACTGGAACTACTTGGAGGGTACAAGGGGTCTTTTGGGTGTCCTTAGGGGATTACAGAATCACAGAATCCCAGAATGGTTTGAGTTGGAAGGGACCTCAAGGCTCATCTCATCCCACCCCCTGCCGTGGGCAGGGACACCTTCCACTAGCCCAGGTTGCTCCAAGCCCCGTCCAACCTGGCCTTGGACACTTCCAGGGATGGGGCAGCCACAGCTGCTCTGGGCAACCTGTGCCAGGGCCTCCTCACCCTCACAGGGAGGAATTTCTTCCTAAAAAAGAGGGGTTGGTTTGCTGTGACCCCCTCTGTGGTCACAGAGGGGCCAAGAGGGCAGCCCAGGACCTCGACACGCTCTGGAGAGCAGCTCATCCTCTGCAGCTGCCATAGGAGCACCCGGGGGGTTTGGCCCCTCTCTGGGGTCTCTCTGCCATGCTGGTGACACCACAGGGTGGGAGCAGCTTGTGCCAGGGGTTTCTCCTTGTTTAAGGGATGTGTGAGCCTCCCCCTCAGCTTCCCTCACCTCTGCCACCCGCTGTCTCCTGTCCCTCCTTCCCTGGGGAAGCCTGGCAGGTTTATTTTTATTTTCCAGGGATTTTGGCACAGAATCCCAGAATGGGTAAGGCTGGAAGGGACCCCAGTGGGTCATCTGGTCCCACCTCCCTGCTCGAGCAGGGTCATCCCAGGGCACAGTGGCACAGGATCGTGTCCTGTCCAGACTGTTCTGGAATGTCTGAAGGGAATAGCTGAAGGTTCTTGAATATCTCAGGGGATGATTCAAGTGAGGGAGACTCCACAAGCTGGGCAGAATTCACCCTGGGCTTCCAGGCAGCCCAGGGCTCTCCAGAGACTGTGGTGCTGCAGTCCTTGTCCTTCCAGCACAGAGGGACGGGTGTTCCAAGGATGTCCGAGCCTGCGGATCCCGCTCGTGCCTCCCCTGACCCTTGGGGAGCTTTAAAACCACCCGTGACAGCAAAATGACTCCAAGGAGCATTTTTTTTCCTCCTGCCTCGCTGGGGTTTGCAGGGATTGCAGATGAATTGCTTTGGAAAAACACATTAGCAAAGCAAAAGTTTATTCTAGGAAGTAGGAGGTGGGAGAATTGGCAGTAATTCTCCCCAGTATCCAAGGTATTATTAGAGGCTTATCCCTGCTCTGCACAGTAATCACATTGGAAATTTTTGATTAGAAAACAAAATCTAAATGAGAATTATGAATATTCATTAGGTGTGGAGATTAATATGCATAATTATGCAAATTAGACAGCAATTAAACACCAATTCTCTGGGGAAATGATTAACACAAAGGCACCGAAATAGAAGGATGTAATTTGAAAGAAGTTTCTGGTTAAATGAACAGTGAGGGGAGCGGAGGAGACAAATCCGTGGCATGTTTGCCATAATAATCAGCTTTGCCAAGCTGGAATGGGAGTGAGCCCTGTCCCCCTGCCCCTGCCCCCATGTCCTTGCTCCCACACACTCCCCACCCCGCTGTCCCCACTGCTGCAGGCAGCTCTCTGCTCCCAGCAGAGCATCCTGGGGCACCTGGGAGGGCCATCCCTGCTGGCACTTTGGCTTTTGGAAGGGCCAGCCCAGGGAGAGCCCCCAGGACCCCAGTGTTGTCCCGGGGTGATCCTGGATGCTGCCGGGGGTGCCTCGTGTCGCTCCATGACGAGCGTGGCCACGAACCCCTGTGTGGGGTTGGGGTTCCCGTGTTTCATGGCTCCAGCCAGTGCCATCCACGCTGCTCAGCCTCCCAGGGGCTGGGATTTCTCCTTGCTGGTGTCCGTGCAGCATCTCCAGAGATGATGCCCCCACCCTGCCCAGCCCCCTCTCAAATCCCTGGATTTAACCCCTCGAGCCTTTAAACCCCTGGTCACCCACCAGAGCAGCACAGTCAGAAATGCTGCTGCCCAGTCAGGTTGAGGCTGTTTTCCAGGGAATGCTCATTCTGTGCAGTCGTGGTATCAGCTGGAACTTCAGGAGCTTTGCTTATGCAATGCCCCTGAAGGGGATCCAGGAGAGCTGGAGAGGGACGTTGGACAAGAGCCTAAAGAGATAGGACAAGGGGGAATGGATTCCCACTGCCAGAGGACAGGGTTAGATGGGACATTGGGAAGCAATTCCTCCCTGTGAGGGTGGTGAGGCCCTGGCACAGGTTGCCCAGAGAAGTTGTGGCTGCCCCATCCCTGGAAGTGTCCAAGGCCAGCTTGGACAGGGCTTGGAGCCACCTGGGCTAGTGGAAGGTGTCCCTGCCCATGGCAAGGGGTGGGATGAGATGAGCTTTGAGGTCCCTTCCAACCCACACCATTCCATGACTCTCTGGCTCCCTGGGGTGCCTCGTGGGCCCAAGAGCTGCAGCCTGGGTGGACCTGGCAGGGGATGAAAGGAGCTCATTTCCCCCCACGGGCTGTGCAGGCTCATTGCAAAACCCTCCTGGTTGGTCCTTTGCCATCTGGGTGAGATCCCCTTTTGCCAGGGATGTGCTTGGAGGGCTAAAGCTGAGATAAGCAGGAGTGTGCTCTGATGGGCCCCTGCTGACATCACACCTGGACACCATGACCTTGTAGCTCCATGGACAAAAATCAGGTCCTGCTGGAGCACTGGGATGTTTTTGACTCACAGTCCTCTTCACCTTCAGTCTGTGGGGGGAAGAGGTTGATGGGTGCTCTCTGGAATAAAGGAGTTAAAATACTTGTTTCTCCTCTTCCCACTGTCCCGTGTTTTGAAACATTTCCAGGCTGTGGTGGGATTTGCTTTGAAGTTTGTGGAATAAATCCCAGCAGGAGTGGGAAGGTGAGGAGGGAGAGGGGAGGCTCAGTCACGCCAAGTGGAAGTGGTTTATTAATGAAAATATTGTTTTGTTTGTAGAAGGAAGAGTTAATTTTACGAGAACACCTTTGAGGCTTTGCTGATAAAGCAAAGAGTAACCTTTGTTCTTCCTGTTTTTCGGTAGGCTTGGATGAAAGACCGGGATCAGGTTCCTGGGGAACGGGAGATCAAAACAGCTCCGCGTTTGACCAAGGAAGGGTAAGGACAAAGCACAAACAGCAAACTCCAACCCAAACAAACGGGGGCTTTCCCAGGCCTTCCAGAGCATGGGCTCTAACCCTGGAACTGCTTCTCTTGCCCCATTTTGGACGTGGGTTCTGTGAACCCTGTGGGGGTGACAGCAGGGAGAGGGGCCTCCCATCCCCATCTCCCCAGGCTTTGCTGCCTGGAGAAGGTTTCTCCTCCAAAACCCTCCCCCAGACCCACGCTGGGGTGGTCTCCCATGGCTGCTCAGGCATCTCCCCTCCCTGCACACCCAGTGTTGGTGTGGGAGAGGGGTGTTCCTGGGTAGGGGTGGGACAGGTCCCCAGATGGGGTCACGATTGAGTGGGCTGAGGTTTTTCACCTGGTGACAAAGCTTTCTGGGCACCCACCACTCAAGGGAGACCAAGGGGATCCACCACATCATCCAGCCAAAGTGGCCTTAGTGGGGATGGAGAACATGGGAAGGGTTTTGCAGGGAAGGAATCGAGGCTGCAACAGCTCATGACTTGGACCTGGGGAGGAGAAGAGAGGAAAGACATGAACTTAGTGGAAACAGTGTTATTTTGGCAGGTGCTCATGTTTTAATGGGTTTGTGTGATTCATTTTTGCAATGGCACCTTTCCCTTCCCTTTGGTCGGCAGCGGAGCTGTCGCTGTGCTGTCGGCTCTCATTTATATATTTAGAATTTATATATTTATATAAATACGTTAAAAAAATCATATTTATGTTTATCCAGCCTTTTCCTAGCCCCTTGGCCCCCCTGGCTCGGGCAGGGCCTGCCTGGCTCTCACCTGGTGGGTGCCAAACTGCCTGAGAGCTGCCAGCCTGGGGCAAACCATGGTGCCATATCCCCTCCCAGCACCACATCCTCGTGGCTGCACTGCCCAACTCTCCTTTGGCACGAGGATAAAACCCCTTTTTTTTTACAAGGAGCCTTTGACTTTGCCCCTGCCTGGGGGAGGCTGGGCCCTGCCAGCCCCGTGTTTTGGTAACTCTCAGTGTTGTCCCAGCAGAGCTATGGCGAAGGCCCCCACTACGGCGAGCACCGGGACATGCCCTCCCACAACAGCATCTCCTCGTCACCATTCCTGGGAGCGGGACTCGTGGGTAAGTGCCCTCCAGCTGCCTGGCAGGTCCCCAGGGCAGGGCACACGTGGCACAGGCTGGCCCGTGGTGGTGGCAGCATTTGCCGTTCCCTGTGTCAGACCTGTTCCGGGTGTTCTCCAAGCTGTGGCCCAGGGAGCTGAGATCCAGAGGGTTTCACCAGTGCCTGACCTGTGTGCCAGCTGCCGTGTTTGGTGTGTGTGGTTGTTTTTCTCTGCTTCACAGGAGCACCCAGAGGCAGCAGCAGAGATCAGTGCCTGACGTGCTGGCACAGGGGGGGCTGAGTGTGCTCCTGGGAGCTGGTAATCAGGGGTGGGAGAGCACCAGGAATGAGGGGGAGAGGAGACACACTCATTGTTAAGGATTTAGGACAACGTTAAGGACTTGGGATGACCCTGCTTGAGTGGGGAGGTGACCCCACTGTGGTCCCTTCCAACCACTCCATGACTGTGACTTGGAAGGGGCTCATGGCTGTGTCGCTTCCCATCCTGGCAGCCCCTGCAGAGAGCTGGAGGTGCTCCCCTTGCTGCACTGGGATTTGGAGGGGCCTCTTCCCATGTCCTGAAAGGCTCCAGCAGCCCCATCTGACTCCTCCATCCCCAGCTCCAACTGGGCAGTGTGAGGAGCTCACAGGGACCGGCGAGTGCCGGAGATGATGATCCTGCGTGACCGGATGCGTGTGACCATTTACCCAGTTACCTCTCCCAGCTCGGGGGCGGGAGGAGAGATTAAGAGCAGAAAATATCCATCCTGAAGGGCTTAGGGAGCTCTAATGGCATTAGGTCAGGAATTGGGGTTAGTCCTCCCCACCTTTGCCCACGCAGGGGTGGTTAAACCCTGCGGCGCGTGCAGAGGGAGCAGTGCTGGGACAGGGCTCGCTCGGGGTGTGAAGGAGGGGTGGGAAGAGGGAATGGTGTTTGAAACAGAAAATCCCCCCCACAACAGGACCTTCCTCCTGCAGAGCTGGTGGGAAAGGGGAAGAGCAGAGCAGGGTCGTGCTGGGAAGGGAGCAGCCAATATGTGGCTGCTTCTGTCTCAGGTGGGAGTGAGGGGCTCACTGTCAGCTCTGCTCCCCCCTTTCACCCCTTGTGCTGTTGGGGGGACGAAGTTTAGTTGCCCCTGGGGGCCGGTGTGTTGTGTGGGGGTGGAGGAGCATTTCTGAGCAGCTCCCCCGTCCCTCTGCAAGGGTGGTTGTTCCTTCTCATTTCTGCCCCAGGAGGATGTCAGTGAAGCAGAGGAGAAGTTTCTGAGCAGGACAGGGGAGATGCAGCTCAGCAGGGTTTTGGGGGGGTGTGCGTGGGGGGGCCCATCCCAGCCTATCCCACACCTGGGGCCAAGGCAGCCTTGAGAGTTTCCAGCCCAGAAGGAGCTGCCCGGGGAGGAACACGGAGGTTTCCCCTTTGATGTGTACAGGGAAGACGCCTTTGGCTCCCTCTCAAAGCCGGGGCTCCCGGTCCTTGGCAGGCGCCGCGGCACTCCCGGCGCTCCCGGCGGAGCTGCCGGCCCGACCGGTCCCCGGCACGTGGAGCTGGAGCCTCCACAGCCCCAGAGGGTGATTTCCAGTGGCTGGCCCTGGAGCTGAGGGCAATCAGTGGCCTGTGGGACAGTGGCCACGCTCTGTGCCCGAGGCTCGAGTGCTGTGTCTCTGCAGGGTCCCAGCCCGGGCGGTGGGTGCAGCACCGGGAGCTCCAGAGCCAAAATAGGGAACAGCCAGAGGTGTAAAGGGGTTCCTCACATTTCAAAGTCCCTTTTGTTCCTAAAGTTGGGTGTGGTAAAGTGGAAAGCGTCAATTCCTGGAGCAGGTTCCAAAATGCATAAATAAGTTTTCATTGTAGAAACATGGAATGGTTTGGGTGGGAAGGGGCCTTAAAGCTCACCTCATCCCACCCCTTGCCATGGGCAGGGACACCTTCCCTTAGCCCAGGTTGCTCCAAGCCCTGTCCAACCTGGCCTTGGACACTTGCAGGGGTGGGACAGTCACAGCTTCTCTGGGCAACCTGTGCCAGGGCCTCACCACCCTCACAAGGAATTTTTTCCCAATATCTAATCTAAACCTACAATCTAATCTAAAGCTGCTCATGTGCTGAGCAGGATGGACCCAAGGAAGACCACGGGGGGGATTTTCTCTTCCTCTTTTCCAAGCTGCTTCTGAAAGTTTTTCAAGTGGCCAGATGCTGAGGGATAGGGGAGAGGAACAGGCAGGAAAATAAAATAGTGCTTTTGCATGCAGTAGTGTGAAAGCAGTGGCAGAATGAGAGGGAGAGTTTTGGAGATGTGTCACTTTGGCTGCCAGTCCCTGATTGCCATGAAGGTCCCCCTGGGCTGGGAACCTCACTCCAGTGGGGAACTTGAGTGGAATCAGGAAATTTGAAAATTGGAGGAGGTGGAGGGAGCAGATGAGGATGAACATGTTCTGGTACTTGGTGGATGAAAGGTGTGTGAGACATCTGAGCCGTTCTCCAAAATCAGAATTTGTGTCTCTTTCCCACTTGATCTCTGTCTCTTCAAGAAGGATCAAGAACTGCTGAAAGAAACATTTTGGGTGGAATATGAATGATCTGTGTTGGCAGTGGTGGGCTTGGCCAGCTAGAGATGGAGGCTGAGCTGAAAGGGCCCCCCAAAGACAATGTGGACTTTGGCTTCCCGTGCTGCTGCAGGCTCTGAGCACAGTCTTGGTGGTGCTGGCCTCCTCCTGGGACCCCTGTCCTCTGGATTTTGGGTCCCTGGAGTCAGTGCATGTCCCAGGGCCAGGCTGCAGCCCCCCATCTTCTGACAAAGGGCTCTAGGGACAGCGAGCACCTTCCCAGGGCGCAGGGACACTGCTGGCCAGGCAGCACTTGTTGGGCAAACGGAGCTGAAGGGTGATTTTTTTGGCTCTGTTTTCCACATGGAAAAAGAGGCTCCTCTCTGACCAGGCTTTTGGTGGGCTGAGGAGCTCCTGCCAGCCCGAGCTTTGAAACAGTCCTTTCCAGAGTGGAGATTTCACCTGCCCCTGCAGGCTGGTGGCGTTCTGGGGCCGTGAAGTGCCCGAGGAGGATCCCGGGTGCAGCCTGTGCTCCCCTTCCCTCAGGAGCTGTGTCACCACTCAAACTGATCTGACACGAGCAGAGGGCAAGGAGAGAGGTTTGGGAGCTGCAGGGTGGGGTGGCCCTTTGGATAGAGGAGCCAAAGGGATGAACATGTGTGTTCATCCAGAGTTCTTCCCGGTGTGTCCCTGCACCGGCAGCTGGCTTTGCAAACTCCATGGGCAGAAACTCCATGAAAAAAAGGCAGGGCTGGAGGGATTTGCCTGGCCCAGGAGAGAAGGAACATGGGTGTGAGTTCAGCCAGAGTAGGGCACTGCCAGCACATCCCCGAAATCCCTGTGAGGCTGCAGCCCTGCCCCTTGTTCCTGTCCTGGTGGGTCCCTTTGCCGTCCCCCCACCCCGTGCCCTCCTCCCCTGCTCAGAGTCCCCTCCTGGAGCCGTGAGGAGGGGGCTGCTCAGCCCCTGGGGCAGAGCTGGGGGACCACAAAGCTCTGGTGCACAGGCCAGGCAGATTTAATCCCTGTTGTTCCCTGTCATTCCCTACAAACAGACAGTGATCCCAGCGGTCCTGGCATGGGAACAGCGTTGCTGGCAGCCAGAGGGACGGTCACTGCCTGCTCCTCACTGCAGCCCTGCTCCAACCCAGGCTTGGGGTGGTGTCCCTGTGGACTGCAGGGTGCACACCTCATCCAAAGCCAGTTTGAAAGGAAAAGCACTGAAATGTGTTCAGCTCAGACACAGAGATGTTGGATTTGGCCTCGTGGATGTTCTTTTGTTGAACATCCGGCGTCTGGCACGATGGGATTTGCTTTGGGAGGCAAATCAGCACAGAGCAGGGAGGGGCTGCCCTGGCATGGGACCTGGGGGAGCTGCTCTCAGAGCTGACCTTTCTCTGCCCTCAGGGCTCCCCCAGAGCTGGGGGTGATGCCCCTCCTGCACTCAGGAAGGGGATAATGTGAGGGGAATCTTCAGTCTCTGCCACAGCTTCAGCTCCACGAGGGGAGGGGGAAAACCAGAGCTGTGTGCAGGACTGACTGGGCAGGGAGCTCTGGGCTGTGCTGCACTGGGATGGGATAACCTGAATTTAAAAAAAAAAGAAAAAGAAAGTAAATTAGAAAGTGTCCAAAGGAGGGACACAGAGCTGGGGAAGGGTCTGAGGAGTGTCTGGACTCTCTGCTCTGGGACCAGGGACAGGAGCCAGGGAAGGGCTGGAGCTGTGCCAGGGGGGTTGGGATGGATCTCAGGGAAAGGTTCTTCCCCCAGAGGGTGCTGGGGCACTGCCCAGGCTCCCCAGGGCAGTGGGCACGGCCCCAAGGCTGCCAGAGCTCCAGGAGCGTTGGGACAACGCTCTGAGGGACAGGGTGGGATTGTTGGGGTGTCCTGTGCCAGCCCTTGGGGCTGCTCCTGGAGGACAAAGGACGTCCTGGGGACATCTGAGCATCCCAGCCCGGGGTGTGGAGAGGTGACAGGAGGGTCCCTGGCTCTCCCAGGGTGGTGCCAGCACACAGCATGGTGACAAACCAGCTTGGCCCAGAGGATGAGGAGGGTGAGAAGGGCTTTTCTGTCTGTTTGAAATCACCAGCTTCACAATTTACCATTCATCTTCAGCAGGGGCAGGCAGGGAGGGGGTTGGTTAAGCAGTGAGGGAACTGATAAGCCATAACAGATTTCTTTCTAGTAATTATTTCTAGTAATTAGCTGCCTTTCAGAGCAGTGTTTCTAATCGGGTGGGTATTGTCAGCGCCTGTGGATTGGGGTCTTCCTGGACAATGGCTTTAATCGGGGGGTTGTTGCTGCTCCTGGGTTTTTAACTTTTTTTTTTTTCCCCTCCCCCTTTTTAATTCCTGGCTGTGTTTTTCCTCCCCTTTTTCCCCAGGCTGGAACTCTAATGGAATTATCGGTGCAGGGCTGGGGGAGGCACGTGGTGGGTGGTGGGAGCTGCACAGGGGCTGTTTCAGGGCTGGGGTGATGTGGGGGCACTGGGTTTGCCAGCAGGTGCTGGAAAAACTTATAGGCAGCACTTAAATACCTTTCCTTGGGGCATCCTGTGCAGGGCCAGGAGCTGGACTCTGGTGATCCCTTTGGGTCCCATCCATCTCAGGACATTCTGTGAGTGGGGAGAGAAATGGCAAAGCCACAAGTTCATTTACAAGCAGTTTGCTCCCGTGGGGGTGAAATGCTGCCACAGTCCAGGTGCCAAAGCCAATCCCCGTTGCTGCCAGAGCTGGTGGGAACCTCGGGAAAGAGGAGTTTTGACTGTGCCACCTCGTCCCTGGGCTCAGGAGCAGATGTGCCTTTGGGAGGTGCCAGCACAGACAGCGTGGGGGGTTCTCTGGAGAAGCCCTGGGCGAGGGCAGGGCCTGGGGGAGGCTTCCCTGAGCCTGGCACAGCTGGATCCTGCGAGAGGGAGAGGAGAGAGGCTGGGAAAAGGCTTGTTAAGCATGGCTGAAGGGGCAGGGGAAGGGGGTGGCAGGGGGCAAAGGCAGGAGGGGGATGCCAGGACTCCCAGCAAGGGAATGCCAGGAAGAGCTGGAAGTGCTGAATGCTCCCAGCCAGTTTCTGGGTGCACCTTGCTCGAGGTGCCTCCACAGAGCTTCACCTTGGCATGTTAAAATTTGCAGAGGTAAATCCCACAGAGAGGATTTCCAAAGGAAACCCCTTTCCTCTTCAAGGGATTTATTCCCAGCATCTTCTGATCCCCCTCCCACAAGATCCCTTAACACCCGTCTGCAGGATTTCAGTAATTCCGTCGGGAGCAGGATGGCATTGGGGGAGATTCCTGGGGGTTTCTTTGCCAAGACCAGCCTCCATCCTGGTCCCTGCCTCCTTTCTGGGGCTTTGCCACCTTTTCTGGCCGGTGCCCTGGGCTGTGGCTGCCAAGGGGTGACCAGGGTGACTCCGGGTTTGCCGCCTGTGCCGGTGGCATCTCCCTGCCCGCAGAAACAGCTCCTTCTGCTGGCAGGTTCAGCTGCTTCTTGCCCCACTTGTGGACTTCTTGAGTTTCAATAGGCTGAGTTACCGGCCTAGAAAGGTTTGCCATTCTCTTTTCTGCCTTGTTTTCGTAGGAAATTAAATGTAGAATTTCTACTGCTGAGCTTTTTGCTGCTTTTCCCCTTGTTATGTGATGATGGAGGGCGCAGGAGCTGGAGCTGGCTGGGGGCTGCCCTCTCCCAATTTCCCACATCCCAGGAGGCTCCCACCAATCCAAGCGTGCAGGAGACACTGATACCAGGCACATTAACCAAGGAAGGCATCAGAGGCCATCCAGAGAAAGTTGTGGGTTTGGAGCAGTGCAGTGCAGAGCTGGCCCTGGGTTCAGAGAACCGCAGAATATCCTGAGTGGGAAGGGACCCACAAGGATCATCCAGTCCAACTCCTGGCCCTGCACAGGACACCCCAACAATCCCACCCTGTCCCTCAGAGCGTTGTCCAAACGCTCCTGGAGCTCTGGCAGCCTTGGGGCCGTGCCCACTGCCCTGGGGAGCCTGGGCAGTGCCCAACCAGCCTCTGGGGGAAGAACCTTTCCCTGAGATCCATCCCAACCCCCCTGGCACAGCTCCAGCCCTTCCCTGGCTCCTGTCCCTGGTCCCAGAGCAGAGCTCAGCGCCTGCCCCTCCGCCTCCCCTCGGGAGGAGCTGCAGCCCCCGAGGAGTCTCCCCTCAGTCTCCTCTGCTCCAGCTGAACCAGCCCAGTGCCCTCAGCTGCTCCTCAGACCCTTCCCCTCCAGACCCTTCTCCATCTCTGTGTCCCTCCTTTGGACACTCTCCAACAGCTTCAGATCCCTCTGACACTGTGGCCCCCAAACAGCCCCCAGGACTCGAGGTGAGGCCGCCCCAGGTCAGAGCAGGGTGGGACAATCCCCTCCCTGGCCCGGCCGGCGATGCTGGGCCTGATGCCCCCCCAGGACACGGTGGCCCTTTGGGCTGCCAGGACACTCTGCTGACTCAGATCCAACTGACCACTGACCAGGACCCCCAGGTCCCTTCCCATGGTGTTGCTCTCCAGCCTCTCGTTCCCAGTCTGTCCCTGCATCCAGGGCTGCCCCGTCCCAGAGGCACAATCCAGCATTTGCCCTTGTTAAACATCTCCTGGATGGGAATTGCCCAAACTTCCCATGCATGGCCAGGAGCTCTGTGGTTCAGCCCAGGTTCTCTGGTGATGGCTGAGGCCGATGGAAGGGGGTTGGAACAACCTGATCTGGTGGAAGGTGTCCCTGCCCATGGCCGGGCCGTGGAACAAGATGGGCTTTAAAGTCCTTTCCAACCCAACCCAGTCAGTAATTCCATGATTCCTGACTCCAGCCAGGGTGTGGAAGAAGCAGTGTGTTATCAGATGGGAGGTCTGGCTGCTGCTGTCCAGCCAAACCCACATGGCATTACCCTGCTTTTCCTCTGCCTTAGGAGTGACTGTGACCCCCCTGATGCCACAACCTGCTGAGTCCTCTGCAGCGTGGCCGGCGCTGCGGCAGCTCCAGCCCTTAAGCTCTTTTAGAAATTAGGTCATTTAGGGGATCCATCCTCTGACATCCTGACCTTTGTTTACTTAACGTTTAAGCCTCTGAGAGGGAACAGCAGCAGTGCCTGGTGGGCCTGGCTGCTGCTGGAGGTGAGGGGTGGGGGGTGCTGGTGTGCCATGACCTTCCCGTCAGGAATGGGGCTCTGGGGTTTGGGGATTGCAGTGGGGGAACCCACTCTGAAGTTTCTGGCTCGAGTTCAAGGCCTCCATGGTAAGGTTGCAAAATGAGCAGCCTCCTCTCTCTTCCCATCTGGCACAGGTTGCCCAGAGCAGCTGTGGCTGCCCCATCCCTGGAAGTGTCCAAGGCCAGGTTGGATGGGACTTGGAGCAACCTGGGATAGTGGAAGGTGTCCCTGCCCATGGCAGAGGGTGGAACTGGATGGGATTTAAGGTCCCTTCCAATCCAAACCAGTCTATAAAGCTCACATGGGCGCTGCTGGCACAGGGCTGCTCCCGTGTGGATCCCAGTTTGCAGCAAAGCTCCAACTGTGAGGAACCCACGGGCCAGGAGGAGTCTGCCTGGTGGGACTGAACAGAGGGGGCTTGGCAAGGAAGGGAATGCTTTCCTATTAATCCCTGCTCTTCAGATCTGGATGGGGTTTGGAAAGTTGAATCTCCAGCAGGAGAGGGGGAGAAGGTGACCAGTGCATTGTAGCAGAGCAGGAGCTCGTGCTCCGGGATTGTATTTCCTGTTGTCTGGAAAGCGCCTGTGGAGTCTGGTCACTCATCCTGGCGCTTGGTTTGCTCCGTCCCTGCCTCTGCCAAGTTCAGCTGGCTGGATGTGAGGTGTCTGCAGGGATTTTTTGGCTCTGGGCTGACACTGCCAGTTTCCATGGCCACAGGCACTTCCCCGCGCCGCTGCAGCGCCGGGCTCTCGGTGTTTATGGACCCGCTCCCCTGAACCTAAAGTGACTCCTATTTTAGCACAAGCTTTTTTGGGAGGCTGTCACTGCCATGGGGGGCCTCACAGAAACAGGCTTTGCCCCTGGTGTCCCTTCCCTGCTTTGGGTGCTTGGGGGCACACAAAACACATCCCCCTCCTCTTACCCAAACCCTTGTCTTCTCTCCTCTCTGCAGGGAAGAGCAGTGACAGAGCCTCGTACTCCACGTTTGGAAGAGACACGGGGATGCCAGGACTAAACCAGGTAATGATAAAATGCAGGGAGGTTTTTTTGCTTGATTTCCTGGCTCCCAGGAGTGAGAGCCTGTGAATAAAACCAGCCTGGGGTTCTCATCTCACCTCTGTGCATGGGGTCCTGGAAAGCCTCTGCTCTGCTCCAAAACCTCTGTGGAGTGTCAGGAGTTCACACGGGCGTGTGTTGCTGGCTCAGAAGAGTTGTCAGAGGTTAGAAAATGTTGGTTGTAGCAGCTTCTCACTTCTTTTCCAAACCTCTTCAGTCAGGCTCACTTGTTTTGTTATTGTTAATCCTGGCTTGTATTTAATCAGCCGTGACCCAGCTACGCTGTCTTGGTGGGGAGTTCCAGTGAGTCAGATCCAAGCAACACCTTTCCCTGTGCCAGGGTGGCCAAGGAAGGCATCTTCTCCCTCCTGCTGCCTGCCCTGGGGCTCTTTCTCTCTCTCCCTCTCCAACCCAAAAATCCCCCAGTACCCTGTGTCCCAGTTTAGGGGAGGGAGATTCCATGAGATGGTTTCTGTGCTGTTGTATCATCATTTCTGTGACTATTGGGCAGTGTTTGTGTTTTATGGTGGGGACCCACAGCCAAGTTCTGTGTTCAGCTCTGGGGCACCAACATCAGGATGTGGAGCTGCTGGAGTGAGTCCAGAGGAGGCCACGGAGATGCTCCAAGGGCTGGAGCCCCTCTGCTCTGGAGCCAGGCTGGGAGAGCTGGGGGGGTTCACCTGGAGAAGAGAAGGCTCCAGGGAGACCTGAGAGCCCCTTGCAGGGCCTAAAGGGGCTCCAGGAGAGCTGGAGAGGGACTGGGGACAAGGGAGGGACAGGACAAGGGGGAATGGCTTTAAGCTGAAGGAGGGCAGATTTAGGTGGGATATTGCGGAGGAATTGTTGGCTGTGAGGGTGGGGAGGGGCTGTCCCAGGTTTCCCAGAGCAGCTGTGGCTGCCCCATCCCTGGAAGTGTCCAAGGCCAGGTTGGATGGGGCTTGGAGCAACCTGGGCTAGTGGAAGGGGATGAAATTGGATGGGCTTTAAGGTCCATTTCAACCCGAATCGTTCTGGGATTCCATGATCTCCACAATCCAGGAGGGTCACGGTGGCAGAGCCGCCTCTTGCAGCCACAGCCCCGTCGGGTCACCCCATGTGAACCCCCGGGCTGTGCTGGGGGGAAGGACTCTCTTCCTGTGGGAAATACCACAGGCGTAAATCCAAGCCCGGGAACACGGTCCAGCAGCCCTGGGATAATCTTCCCTGCTGCCACCAGCATCCAGAAATAGTTTTTGGGGAAGGAGCAAGCACCTCTGCTTTGATGTGTTGCTCCAAGTGCCCAGAGTGGCTCCGGGGAAACAGTCCCACCATTGGATCCACGGGAGGAGCTTTTGGCCGGACAGCTCTTATTTTATCCGTGTACACACACGCACACATTACATGTTTTAATTTTACACAAATTGGTCATAATTTCCTCCTCTCTGAAGTGAGGATGTTTCCTTTGCTGGAGCAGCTGTGCTGGCTGTGCCAGAGTGGATTTCATTTACCACTGAAGCTGCTCAAACAAAACCGGGCCCGGTGCCAAGTGTTGCTTTTGGATGTGATGGTTTTGCTGGGCTCTCGTGGAGGAGGGGAGATATAAGGTAACAGAAATGGGGGGGGGGAATGGTGCTGCAGGGCTCTGGATCGGGTGGCAGATCCCATTTGATGTGAGGGGGGAGACAAAACCCCCTTGTGTGGGGCTGGGGAGGCGAACGGAGCCAGCTGTGACCCCCAGAGCAGTTGTTGCTTCTGGCTCCCGTTTGGGGGAGTGAGGAGAGGGTTGACCTTTGGGGGAGTGAGGGGAGGGTTGACCTTTTTTTTTTATTATTTTTGAAAAGATGAAAAATGTTCTGGTGGAGATGCCCTGGCATCTGGGGGAGCAGGTTCTTCCCAAAAACACTCTGCTCCGAGGCAGAGCCGTGGCTTCCTCCTTGTTTAACTCTGAACCATCTCCAGAGGCATCTTGAGGGAGAGGGAATGGGAAGAAAACCCCTTTCTCTGGGAAATGGCCTTAAAAATCCCAGAGATGCCCATGGGAGGAGCTGGGCAGCAGCTCCCGGGATCCCTCTGGGCTGCTTTCCTTGGCGGAGCAGGTCCGGTGTGACGGTAACCTGAGCGCTGGAACAGATTGCAGGAATGTCACCAGCTGTGAACACACGAGCTCCTCTTTCCCTCCCTGACCCCTTTCTGGAGGAGACGGAGTTTGAAAGCAGAGGTTTTTCTTTCCAGTTTCTCAAAAGCCTGAAATCCTCCTTTATTTCCCTGTGTTGCCCTCGGAAGATGGGTCAAAGCCGAGCTTTTGGGACTTGAAGGCCCTTTGCCAGCCCTGTGCAATTCCATATAAATACACTGAACTTCCTCCTGAGGTGAGGGGGGGCTGGAGGAAAGGCAGGATTGCTCCATCCCAAGAGGGAGAGAGCACCCTGGGCTCCAGCTCCCCCAGCTCTGAGCTGCTTCCCAGCGTGCCCAAGGTCAACTGGGATAAACACAGGGGAGGAGTTTTCTGGTTTTAGAAAGAGGGATTTGGCTTTTCTCTGATAAAACACAAGAGAAAACCACCCCAAGCAGCAGCAGCAGCTTGTTCCCAGGGCCCGTGTCTGGATCTACCTGGGAATAAACCACTTTGCTTTTGCCAAAGGCTGAGCTCAGGTGTGAGTTTAACTTTGGAGGGAAGACAAGCTCCAGTTCCCCAGAAGTTGTGTTTCTTGTCACAGTTCTCCTGCACCCTCCAGAATCACTTTCCTGCTGCTATTTTGGGCTTTCCCAAACAAACAGAATTGGCTTATCCCGCCCTCCTGGGCAGCAGGTGAGCTGGGACCACGATGCTCCCCATGATGGCACCTGCTGGTTTTCCTCCTTGGCTCACAGGGGTTCCTTGCTGGGGTCCTGCAGGAAAACAGAAGCTGAAAGACCCTCTTGTTCCTCCACACCTACCCCATACCTCCACCCCCATATTTACGGGTTTGTTTTCCCTTCTGGCCCCTTCTGGCTCGTGTTTATTTTTCCCCTCAGCCGAGTTGGTGGGAAGGTGTCTCAAAGCAGCTCTGTTCTCTCCCAGCGAGTCGTTTTTCCAGCGTAATTCCATGGAAGGGCTTCTCTCTCTCCTTGTTTTCAGGCCGGGTTCCTGCCCAGCGAGATGGGAATCGCCAGCCCCAGCACACTTTCCCCCACGGGGGGCAAAGGGGGGTCCCAGTATTTCTCTTACCCCAACAATCCTCGCAGGAGAGGTGCTGAGAGCAGCATTGGTGAGTCCCCACGTGCCACCCCCGGGTGCCACAGCTTGAGGGAACCTCAGGGATGTCACCCTGAGGGCAGGGTGGGATCTGCCTTTGGGAATGAGGAACTGAGGCTGGGAATGAGAACAGCAGTGTTGAGGATGACAAACTGATGTTGCCACGTGTGTGTATCTGGCATGAATTTGGCATTTGGTTTTTTGAGGGAGGGGAATGCATAGAAATATCTCCATATATCTGTATAGAGGTGTCTAACTTTAAAAAAATAAAGGGCTCAGAACCAGGTAGAATTCCCTTCTCCCTGGAAAATGTCAGATTAGCTGAAAGCAGCAAACAGCTCGAGGTTCTTCTCAAAACACCTCCAGCCACATTGCACATCACTAGTCATTGCTGGAAAACCTTGGAATGCCTTGGCATTCTGTTTTTATGGCCAGTGGCCCTCCCTGGAGCCCAGGAACAGAGTTCATGAGGTCCAGACACTCTGCCAGGACATGGGAGCTGCACCCTGGGACACAGAGAATGTTCACTCTCTCCCTGCCTGCTCCAGAGTATCCAAGCAGGGCTTCCCATGTCTGGATCTACCTGGGAATAAACCATTTTGCTTTTAGCAAAGGCTGAGCTCAGGTGTGAGTTTAACTTTGGAGGGAAGACAAGCTCCAGTTCCCCAGAAGTTGTGTTTCTTGTCACAGTTCCCCTGCACCCTCCAGAATCACTTTCCTGCTGCTCTTTTGGGCTTTCCCCAACAAACGAAACCAGAAGTGAACCCTGTGTGATGTGCTTTTCAGAAAAAGGCAGTCCCCACCCATTTTCAGCCTGGAAAATGATTCTTCTGTGTTCTGTGGGATGAATTTCTCCTCCAGAGAAACATCCCAGCAGAGTCCCTTGCTGTGTTAGCACCCTGCCCCCCCCCAGCCACAGCCTTCCTTAATTATGACAAATAATGACCTTAATTATGAAAAATAATAAATAATAATTATGAGAAATAATAATATTAAATATAGAAATTAAGAAAATATCAAATTAAAATATCAGAAGCACTGGTTGTGCTTCCCCTTGAGCCACTGATGATTGTTTCCCCACCATGTCCCTGAACTGTCCCCCTCCAGAGCTGGACCTGGAGGGATGTGCTGGGAGCTGGTCCTGGGAAGCACATCCCTGCCTCCTGCAGCAGTGGAGCTTTCCCAAGTATATCCTTATGTAAGGAGAAATGAAAATACAACCCAGCCCTGCACATGTTCCTTTTCTCCACAGACCCACTTCAAGTTAAATTGTTTCCCAAAAAAACCCCAACGAGGGTTTATAACATTAAATATTATTATATTTATGGGCTCGTTCTCTCCCAAGGAGCCCTTCTCCATGGGGTGACACCTCTTGCTGCCCTGGGATCTCTGTCTGTGGGTGAAACCTGCCCCCAAAAGGTGTAGATGAGATTTGGAGAGGTTCATCCTCGGACATTTTCACCGTTGATGCTTCCTTGGGATCTGAGCCCTGTCTGTACCTGCAGCTTCCAACCCTAGAGACTTTTGGTGTAGCTGGTTTTCCCTCCCACTAAGCACCTTCAAAACTTAGACCCTCTCTTCTCTCCCCTAACCCAGATGGACAGCCCAAAAAGGTTCGGAAGGTGCCTCCTGGACTCCCCTCCTCGGTAAGTGGCGGCAGCGCGTTCCCCGCAGGTGTCTCCTCCCTCCCTCGGGAATTATCCCAATCCTGGGAGCTGCCAGGGTCCTGCAACCCCAAACATCGAGGGTTTGGATTTTAGCAGCGTGGGGAAGGGTTTTCCCAGCTCCCAAAGCAGGAGAACTGGGAAGTGATGCGGGGGAGAGCTCCTTAGGGAAGGAGCCGCAGCATTCCCGGTGCGGGGGCACCTCCCCAGCCGGAGCTGTGGCCTCCTGCCCTGCGGCCTCTGCTGTGTTTGACGTTATGTCGCGAGTGAAACGCGATCCTCGAGGGGTCGGATTTCACTCCAGAAGGGAAACCAGCGCAGTTGGAGCGGGGCAGGGCAGCTGAGCCCCCTCCAGGTGTGCACTGCCCGGGCCGCGCTCTGGGAAAGCTGAGCAGCCTGCAGGAATACGAGGAATACGCTCTCCCTGCTCCCGCGGCTGTTCCAGGGGAATAGACTGAACAATGTCTTTGTGGCTGCAAGTAATGGGATCTCCAGGAAAGCTAATTGGAGTGGGCTGGAGGGTTCCTGCAGGAATACGGGAGCTGTCTGGCGGCCCAGGCTGCATTCCTGGCTGGAGCATTTGCGTGCTTGGAGGGGGACAGGATGGCTCTGTCCCCAGGCTCTGTCCCAGGGCTCTGTCCCCAGGGCTGCATCCCCAGGGCTCTGTCCCCAGAGCTCTATCCCATGGGCTCTGTCCCCAGGCTGGGGCTGTGCCCTTGCCCAGGTGTGTCCTGTCACTCTCTGCCAAAGCTGGTGCTGGTGCAGTGCTCCCCCATTCCCCAGGGAACACCCCCATCCATGCAGGAAATCCATCCACTTGCATTCCCTGGCTGCTGGCGCAGAGCTGTAACCTCCAGCACAGGCTCTGCCTTTGGAATTGCACCCCGAGATGCTGGTTTGGGAGGATGGAGGGGCAGGAGGGCACTGAGGGCTTGCCAGGTTGGGCTCACAGTCTGGAGGGTGTTGAAGGGTCCGTGTGGATCCGCATGGTGCAGAAACCAGCTCCAGTGAGCCGGGCCAAGTTGCCCCAAGGTCTGTGTTTTACCAGGGAAAACCTGCTCAGAGCAGAGTCCGTGTCACTGCCTCGAGTTTCTGTGTGAAATGTGGAGCTTTTAAAGCCCAGACGACATGTGGGGAAAACATCACTCCCGACAAATGGCCTTTATTGGCCTCGGATTTCAAAGTGCCGGGACTGGACCCATCCTGCTGCCCGGGAGGGCCCCGATTCCCACAGGAAAAGCCACTTGGCATTTGCCAAAACCCAGCCCCTTCCCTGTGTCTGAGCCGACACCTGCACGGTGGCCTTTTATAGGATGGTTTGGGTTGGAAGGGACCTTAAAGCCCATCCAGTGCCACCCCCTGCCATGGGCAGGGACACCTTCCACTAACCCAGGTTGCTCCAAGCCCCGTCCAACCCGGCCTTGGACACTTCCAGGGATGGGGCAGCTACAGCTGCTCTGGGCAACCTTAACCCTAACCCTCACCACGCATGAGGGTGAATTTCCTCCTCACGTCTCCCCCATAAATCTCCCTCCTTGCCCTGGCTGGCACCTCGGCTGCCCCTTGATGCCAAAGCTCTGATTTCTGGTGCCGCCTCTTTCCCTCACCCTCCCTTTGCCGTGAGCTCCGGCTTCCTGGTTTGTTTTTGAACTTCCACACCTGGGGAGAGAAATCCGTGCCGAGGCGGCGGGAGAAGTGTGAAGCAGAAGGAGTGGCCTCAAAGGCAGCGGATCAAAGGCTCTTTCTTGTCTGACTCGCCCGTGCAGGAGCCCGCCCCGTGTTATCACTGGACCCCGTGCAAAATAAATAGGTTAATCAGCATCTTATTAAAATGAAGCACTTTAATCTGTAATTCCCGAGCTGCTTTGAAAACTCGCCGAGGTCAGCGGCTGGAAGGGTCGGGGGTGGCTGGAGGGGGAGTGATGATGCCAAAGGCACTGAGAGGCACCGGCGGCGTGAGGTGGTTCAAGGGGAATGTGAGGGGCGATGCCAGGCAGGGATGGGCACAGAGAGACCTGTTCTGGTAACCTGCAGCCTTTGGGCTCAGTGCTCGCATCCCGAGGAGGCCACGGAGATGCTCCAGGGCTGGAGCCCCTCTGCTCTGGAGTCAGGCTGGGAGAGCTGAGGGGGTTCACCTGGAGAAGAGAAGGCTCCAGGGAGACCTGAGAGCCCCTTGCAGGGCCTAAAGGGGCTCCAGGAGAGCTGGAGAGGGACTTGAGACAAGGGATGGAGGGACAGGGCAAGGGGGAATGGCTTTAAGCTGAAGGAAGGCAGATTTAGCTGGGATATTGGGAAGGACTTGTTGGCTGTAGGGTGGGGAGGGGCTGTCCCAGGTTTCCCAGAGAAGCTGTGGCTGCCCCATCCCTGGAAGTGTCCAAGGCCAGGTTGGATCAAAGCAGCAGCCTGTTCTAGTGGAAGGTGTCCCTGCCCATGGCAGGGAGAGTGGAATGAGATGAGCTTTAAGGTCCCTTCCAACCCAAACCATTCCATGATTCCAGGCAATAGGTTGCCCTCAGGGCACGAAGCCCCTTGGAGCCTCCCTGCAGCTCTGGAGCTCCTGACCACAGGCTGGTGTGTCCAGGCACAGGACCCCAGGGCTGGATGGGGCCCCCCAGGCCCTGCTGCACATCAGCTGCTGAGCCACAGGAACCCGGGGAGGGATTTTGTGCAAGTCGGTTCCTGCAGGATTTTGTTGCCGCAGCGAGCGCGGTGCCGGGGAGCTGCTCCAGCCTGCGAATTCCCAGTCTGGTCACTGCTCTGTTTAGCCTCAGTCTGCCCGAAGTCCCACCCCAGCTCCTGCGTTTGAGCAAGAAAAACAGGGAGGGGAAAACAACCCAACACCACAAAGCGCTGCGGATCCCAGCGCTGGGGCTTTTCGAGCGGCTCTCGCCGCGCTGGCAATTTTAACCGGAGGAAATGACCTCACCTGGAGGTCCCCGAGGCCGCCGGCTGAGGGCTGGGGCCAGGGGCTGGGGAAGGGCTGGGGAACGGGGACCTGGCCCTGATTTACTGTTTCCTGCAGCACTTGGCCGCCGGCTCAGCCCCGGCTCGGCCGCCGTGCCCGCACGGAGGGGCTTGGGGCAGTGAGGGATGGAGCAGCGAGGGATGGAGTCGGCTTTTCACGGCCTCCCCTGTGCCGAGCAGCGAAACAAAAAATTTGGAGTGGTCAGGGCCAGAACTGTGGTGAAATTTGGCTCCAACAGGAGATGGGGGGTGTGGGGGTGTCCAGGATGGGGGAGCAACAAGGCGAACTCCCCTCTGCTTTGCCTCCCCCTTGCTTTGCCCCCCCTTGCCCCCTCCATCCCTGCGATTTTGCTCTCCCGGTTTCCAGCGGGGATGTAGGAAATGGCTGTTGGGGCCGGCGGCCCCCCCGCGCCGCTGCGGCGCAGCTGCCTCTGGCGCTGGCCGGGCGCCAGCCCCTGGCAGATGGCGCGGGGCTCTTTAGGCCTCCTTCCCTCGGCTCCCCGGCCCAGCTCCCGCCATTTAATCAAATTATAGGAAAAGGCAATTTGCTGGGTTCTCGTTCCCCCCTCCACACACACACACACGCACAGACCCCACTCCGTCCCCCCACTGCCCCCGTGGCCACGGCGCTGCCCCCGCTGCCCCTCCAAGGCCAAGGGGCCTGGAATTCTCTTTTTCGAGTGAGGGATGAAGGGCAGCTGCCAGTGTCTGTCAGGATTTTCCCTCCCCCCTCTCTTTATTTCTCTTTTTTTTTGCCTTTAGTTCGCGAGTTCCCCACAGAACCAGGGAATCAGGAGCGTTGGAAGAGCTCTCTGAGGTCATCGAGCCCAACCATTCCCCCACCACTAACCCCTGTCCCCAAGTGCCACATCTGTACGTTTTTGAACATTTCCAGGGATGGTGACTCCACCACTGCCCTGGGCAGCCTGTGCCAGTGCCTGACCACTCTTTCAGTGAAGAAATTTCCCCTGATATCCCACCTGATATCCCTGGCACAACTTGAGG